GGTTCTTCTCCCCCTCTACTCTGCTCTGATTGAGGCCTCATCTGGAGTACTGTGTCCAGTTCAGGGCCCTCCAGTTCAAGAGAGGGAACTATGGGAGAGAGTCCAGCGGAGGGCTATGAAGACAATTAGGGCACTGGAGCATCTCTTACGAGGAAAGACTGAGACACCTGGGTCTGTTTAGCCTGGAGAAGAGAAGACTGAGAGAGGACCTTATCAATGCTTATAAATATCTACAGGGTGGGTGTCAAGAGGATGGGGCCAGGATCTTTTCAGTGGTGCCCAGTGACAGGACAAGGGGCAACGGGCACAAGCTGGAGCACAGAAAGTTCCACCTGAACATAAGGAAAAGCTTCTTTACTCTGAGGGTGGCAGAGCACTGGAACAGGCTGCCCAGGGATGTTGTGGAGTCTCCTTCCCTGCAGATAGCAAAAAACCACCTGGATGTGACCCTGTGCCACCTGCTCTAGGTGAGCCTGCTTTAGCAAGGGGGGTTGGACTAGATGATCTCCAGAGATCCTTCCCAACCACTTCCATCCTGTGATTCTGTGACAACTGGTAGGGAGGTGAGGTGGGAGGTGTGGGATTGGATCCCCGTAGACCAAGGCAGGATCCTGGCTGAGTCCTTAAAGCATTGAACTGTTCGACAGCGGTGCTCCTGTCACCTCCATCCTTCCCTCTCTGTCAGAACTTTAAAAGACCAACCTCTGATTGGGTTTTTCAGCAGAGGGTATCAGACAGAGTTCTTGATGGGATGGATGTATCTTCTGCAGGGTGAATGGTGTACCCTTTTGCTGAGCGTGTCCACATTGACCTCGTACGCAGTTTCTGACTGAGCATGCCAGCTTTGCTCCCTTGCTGTACGGTCCTGACACTGAGGTCTTACTACTTGCAAGTTAAGCAATGACAGACAGCAGCATGGGACTGGGAGAGCCTTGAATCATCAAGTTTACTTATACCCAGTCATAAACAGTGGTTTACTATTAAGTCCAGAGCGATCACTTCCTGCTGTGTCTTTTTCATACCAGTAAGTCCCAAATCCCACCTAACCTAATTAATTTCCTTTCTCTAGCTCTATAAATAGCTGAAGATTTTGAGAACAAAAAGACCAAAAACTTACACTTCTGAAGTTTCCTGGAAGGAGAAAGGCGAGATTGTCAAACTTATCCTCAGAGTGCTCTGAGTTAAATCATAGGATCATAGAATACCAGGTTGCAAGGGACCTCAAGGTTCCAACCTTTCATGGCAAAAGCATGGTCTAGATGGCTCCACAAGATGGCCCAGCACCTTGTCTATCTGAAACGTAAGTGTCCAATGTTGAGGAATCCACCACTTCCCTGGGGAGATTATTGCAGTGGCTGAGTGTTCTCATTGTGAAAAATTTTCCTCTTGTGTCCAATTGGAACCTCCCCAGGAGCAACTTGTACCCATTACCCCTTGTCTTTTCCATGTGACTCCTTATAAAACCAGAGACTTCATCTTCTTTCTAGCCACCCTTTGAATACCAGAACTTTCCTCAAGGCTGAACAAACCCAATTCTTTCAGCCTTTCCACATATGGCAGACTTCCCAGTCCTTTGATCATCTTTGTGGCCCTTCTCTGGACCCTCTCCAGCCTGTACACATCTCTTTTGTACAGCAGGGACCAAAACTGAACACAGTATTCCAGGTGTCACCCATTGGCTTTCTTTGCTGCAGTAGCAAACTGTTCACTCATATCGAGCTGCTTGTCCACCAGGACCCCAAGGTCCCTTTCCACACAGCTGCTCCCCAGCCAGGTAGATCCCAGCCTGTGCTGCACTCCTGGATTATATTTTCCCGGGTGCAAGACCTTACATTTGTCCTTGCTGAATTTCATAAGGTTCTTGTTAGCCCACTCTTCCAGCCTATCCAGGTCTTCCTGCAGGGTGGCTCTTCCTTCCAAAGTGTCCACTTCCCACTCAGTTTGGTATCCTCAGCAAACTTCATTGGGGTACCCTTGATCCCATCATCCAGATCGCTATTAAACAGCATTGGGTCCAATATCGATCCCTGGGGAACCCCACCTGTGACAGGTTGCCAGTTTGAAAAGAAGCTATTTACGACCACCCTCTGTGTGCGGTCTGTCAGACAGTTCCCCACTCACTGCACAGACCACTTGTCTAAACAGTAACGCATCAATTTCTCTAGGAGGAGGCTGTGGGGAACCATATCAAAAGCCTTGGAGAAATCCAGGAAGACAACATCCACTGCTTGCCCCACATCAACCAACCAAGTTACTTTGTTGTAGAAGGCAGTCAGGTTTGTCAAGAACAATTTGCCCTTGGTGAATCTGTGCTGGCTTGTCCCAGACACGTGCTTCATTTGACTTATGATAGCACCCAGGAGGATTCGTTCCAGAACTTTCCCAGGGATTGAAGTAAGACTGGTGGGCCTATAGTTTCCTGGATCCTCCTTTAAGCCTTTCTTGTAGATGGAGGTGACATTAGCCTTCTTCCAGTCTTTTGAGATGTCCCTCAGTCTCCATGACTTCTCAAAGATTACGGAGAGCAGCCTTGTAACAATGTCTGCCAGCTCTCTTAACACCCTTGAGTGGACATTGTCAGGGCCCATCAAGTTCTAGGAGTCAAGCTCCTGTAATAGTTTACATACCAACTCTTCCGTCACTGATGGTGGGTCTGTGCTTGCATCAACCTGGATTTTTGTTCTCAAGGCTGGGGCCCAACAGTGCTGATAAAGACAGGCAAAGGTAGTGTTGAGAACCTCTGCCTTTTCAGTGTTGCTGTGGACTAAAAAACAGCGGACCAATATTTTCCTTCTCTTTCTGCTTGGTGTTTATGTACCTGAAGAATCCTTTCTTGCAGTTTTTGACATCTCTGGCCAATTTCTATTGGAGCTGAGCTTTTGCTTTTCTAACTGCATCTCTGCAGGCCCTGGCAGTGCGCTTGCAGTTCTCAATGGGTATTCATCCACTTTTCTGTCTCTGGTATGCTTCTCTTTTGGTTTTGAGCAGACTCAGAGGCTTGCAGTTAGGCCAAAAGGGTCTCTTGCGTTGCCTACTTCCCTTACCTTTAAAGAGGATGAACTATTTTTGTGCTTCCAGGAGAGTGTTCTTGAAAAACTCCCAGCACTCGCTAGCTTCTTTATCCTCGATGGATGCTTCCCACAGAATCCCTCATGACTGAGCTCTGAGCAAGCTGAAGTTTGCTCTTCTAAAATCTAAACCCTTTGTCTTAGTACCAAACTTCAGCATGCTCAGCAGGATCCCAAACTCCACAATATTGTGATCACTGCAGCCAGGACTATGACTAACCGAGTGTAACGGGGTCTGCCTGAGATGCAGCCCTCACTGTGCTGTGCAGTGGTAGCCAGATAACACACCAGTGTTTTGACTGCGGCTGAGTAGGGCTCACACAGCATCAAGGCTGTTTCCCCAACATTTCCCCAGTAGGCTGGGGGTGGGTAAAAACTTGGGAGGGGATATAGCCAGGACAGCTGACCCAAACTGACCAAAGGGATATTCCATACCGCATGACGTCTGCTCAGCAATATAAGCTGGGGAAAACAGGAAGAAGGGGGGAACATTCGTTTCATGTTTGTCTTCCGGAGCAACTGCTACGCGTACCGGAGCCCTACCTCCCAGAAAGTGGCTGGACATCTCCTGATGATGGGAAGTAGAGAATAAGATCTTTTGTTTTGCTTTTGCTTCCATGCGTGACTATTTGCTTCATTAAACTGTCTTTATCTGACCCACGTGCCTGTTTTTATATTTTCTCTCCCCTGTCCAGCTGAGGGAGTGAGAGTGATAGAGTGGCTTTGGTGGGCACCTGGCATCTGGCCAGGGCCAAACCACCACACCGAGATACTACAAAGCAGGTTTTGTTGGTTTGTGAGTAGCAAGTCCAGCAGTGCCTCATTCCTGGTTGGCACATCTAACATTTGTATGAGGAAGCAGTCCTCTACACATTGCAGGAACTTGATGGATGACATGTGAGCTACTGTATTGTTCTTCCAACAAGTGTCTGGGTAGTTGAAAGAACCCATAAGAACCGGGTTCTACTGACCTGAGTGACCCAAATATTGCTTTGTTTGCCTTATTGTCTTGGTTTGGAGGTCGATAGCAGATGCCTACTGTAAGATCCCGCTTGAAGACAAGCCCTCTGATATTGATCTAGAGGCGCTCATAGGGCTTCCACAATCACCGTAGTTGACTTCTATACATTCAAGATTCTTCTTAACATAGAGTGTGATTCCTCCTCCTCTTCTTCCCCACATGTCTTTACAAAACAGCCCATAGCCATCCATTGTGATCCTCCAGTCATGTGAGTTGTCCCACCATGTTTCAGTTATTCCTATGATATCATAACTTTCTGACTGGGCGTGGGGCTCCAGTTCCTTCTGTTTTTTCCACAGGCTGTGTGCATTGGTATACGTACACTTGAGGTGGTTAGTCTTCTGGTTCTCGTCTTGGGAGTCGCCTAAGGAACATTTGTCGCTGCTCTGCTTGGCCTGGCTTATTCCCCAGTTGGTTGCAATGGTGTGCGCATTGCCACTTTGGACCCTGCCCCCTGAGTCCTTCCGTTAAAAGCCCACCTCACCAAGTTGGCCAGCCTGCTGCCAAAGATACCCTTGCCTCTTCTGGGGAATCTAGAAGAGTGCATAAAAGAGAAAGGAGTTTGTGTAGACCCAGCTCCACAATACTGTGTTGTCTAAAGCTCTTTCTGGATCTAACTCCAATTCCTTGGGAATTTATACAAGAATCTTATGTATATATCAATAGAATGTATAAATTGTACAAACTGACACTTTCCTTTAATTAATTTAATTTTTCTGTACGTGGAGTCTCTACCTATATTAACAAGCTATTCAATACACTAGTACTTCAACATTTATGAACAAGTTAGTTTTTCACATTTTAAAATAATATATGATTTGTTGGAGATAATTATTAATACAAAGAGGGAAAACATAGGTTATCATGTTCTTCTGATCTGCCAAAAAATAACAAACTTTTTTATCCACTAGGTGTTAAGAGTGTACAAAGCTGCAGTACAACAGACATTGAATATCCTCTTTCTCCCTGAAGGAAGAGAATTTCTTACAAGCACAGATGCAGTAAGCCGGGACTCAGCTGATCGTACCATTATTGCATGGGACTACCAAAGTGCTGCAAAAATCTCCAATCAGATTTTTCATGTAAGATTAACAACTAGTATTGTTTGAGTCATGATTTATTATTTCATGCTTGCCAGTATTGTAAGAAAAAGCTTTCGATTTTCTATAAGATCATTGTGTGATGTATAAAATGCTCTTAATGCAAGTGGAGGGCTTGCTTTATTTTTATATTTTAAAAACACTTACTTATTCTTAAAAAATGACCTTGAAGACTGATAGGTCTTCTTGTGTTAAAAATATTTACATTTCAGTGCTCATTCATTGACATCTAAGCTATGTTTAGGCAAGGCCACTGCTGTGTCATTCTAGCTTGCCAGTGGTGCATGGCAGTAGTTGCTATAGTGCCACGTTTGTTTTCCCACCCTTTTTCATACATTTTTCATCAGCTGCAATGAGGGATATTGACAAATTGAGTTTAATATCCACATAGTAATAGCAACCTGATACATGCACATAGATATCTAGTATGCGTAATCACAGAGGCAAAATTTACTTTTATCAGTGCAGGTGCGGTGTTTCTGTCAGTAATCTATCCAGGCAAGATATTTAAAGGACTAAATTGTCTAGAAAGGCTGACAGCTTCAAAGGAGATTACCAAGGAAGTTAATAGATAATTCCAACTCCCTGGGTCTTTTTTGAAAAACCGTGTCTAATATCCTGTGTAATATAATATGATTGGATTGTATATAGATGCTTTTTGGCTGAAATGAACAGTTCTCTACTGGCAAGGATATGTAGCTGATGATCTAATGGGGTTGTTTCACGTTTAATTTCCACAGTTATGTCTTTGTCCAATATTGGATCTAGCAACATCTTGGATAGGCAATAGGGAAAAAAAAAAGGAAAAAAAAAGAGCTGTGAATATATGAAGTACAGACTGGTCAGGTTCAGTATCAAGGAGTAAATGTCAAACAAACAACTTTTTTCTCTTTACCCCTTGCCAAACAAACTAAATGCCCCCTAGAGCCTACCTTCTCATGACTACAGCATCTCTGAACTGGACTGTTTTCCCCCTTTCTGTATTGTGAATAAACAAAAATTGGTAGTGATTTTGGAAACTCTGCCTCACTTTTCTGAATTGCACCTTTGAACCCTTCAAGGTGGGAGAGAACCCCTGAACTCTTTAACCAGATTTGATCCCAACAAGACTTGATCTAGCTTGTCTGCACTAACAAATGAACAGTTAAGCGCTCTGAAATAATTCATTACTGCAGTGTACCAAGCATAATAGCACAGTGCTCCTGCAGACGGCATTGTGCTTTCTGATCCCTTGCCATTAGAGCTAGTTTCTCCCCAGAAGCATGCAGTGCTCTGCCATGGCGCACACCCCTAACCAGGCAAACTGCCTAGCCCTGTTTCGGTTTCTGCGCACAATACCTTACAATACCCAGAACTTCCTTCCCAGCTCATCGCTTCCAAATCACACAACAAAACCAGTCTGATGTTCTTCCCACTCTGCCACATAGCCCATGGTGTCCAGCAGTCACTGTCAACCTGATATCCTTCACATGCAGACACATCCTACAGCCAAAGCGCTCTTAATTTGTATTCATGGCATCCATAGCTATGGAGGAAGGGATATGGAAGAAGAGGATTCACTTTCACATTCAAGCTTTAGTTTTCCTTGGGCAGGAAGAGGATGATTGAATACCATCAGGTTGGAGTTACCTTTCTGCAACTGTTCTGCAGTATAATTACGGTTCAGAGGGAGATGTGATTTTGTTCATGTCTAGGAAATCAGGGTAGAGATTGATTTAATATCTGTCTTGTTGTAAGACTTTTGGTGGGTTGTAATACTTTTGGTGGGTTGTAATGAGTTAAGCATCTTCATATAATGTATACCGTAGAGGTGACTTATGTATACCTTGCCTCTTATGGTCTTTCAAATATGTCAAAAGATAACCTGAATCATTTGAACAAATCTTTTGTTTCATACAGCAAAACTTTCTTTAAAATGCTTTTCAGGAGCGTTACACTTGCCCAAGTCTGACTCTGCACCCAAAAGAGTCCATGTTTGTTGCTCAGACGAACGGAAACTACATGGCTTTGTTTTCTGCCCAACGACCTTACCGAATCAACAAAAAGAAAAGATTTGAAGGACATAAGGTATCCTTCACTGGGAATTTAATATCCAAGTCTGGAAGGAAGATAGATAGCAAAGTACATGTGCTTCTTAATATGTCTGCTAAGTGTTTGATTATAAATCAGTAATAGATATTAGTTGTCTTCATTTGCTTTCCCATGTGCCAGTCTATTTTGAATCATATGCACTCTGGAGAAAATAGTTATTAGAAGACTTTATGAATACCTAATAGCTTGATTAAATAAGTTTGTGTTGTAACTGTCTTAATAAACACGTGGAGAAGTCCTTAGTGCATTTTTATTTGAAGATACAAGGGTGTTTTTTTGCTATATTCATTTTCAGTATATCACAATGAACTTTTCCAATCAACAACAAGAGTTATACTGTTATTGATTTTTACAGGTGGAAGGATTTGCAGTGGGCTGTGAATTTTCACCAGATGGAACGCTTTTGGTGACAGGAAGTTCAGATGGCAAAGTGTTTTTCTACAACTATCATACTGCTAGGATTATTCGCACTTTGTCGGCACATAAAGAAGCTTGTGTGAGTGCAATATTTCATCCAGTCTTGCCATCGCTCCTTGCAACATGTGATTGGGCTGGAGAAATCAAGATCTGGCAATAACAAGCAGAATTACTTTCCAGGATGTCTCCTGTTAGTCTGTCAAAGGCATAGGAAATAAACTATGGTATGTAATGTGAAATTTTGTTGTGATGCATTGTAAGCAGGAGAGACTTCTATGACCTCTAAGTGTATGCTTTCATAATGCAGTTAAGATGGTCTTGTAGTTAGCTGGTGAGCAAAGAAGTGGTCTTACTCTCTCCCACAGTCCTGGTGACAAATTTTCTGCCCCTTTTGTATCAATCTCCTGGTGCTCATCTAGCCCCACTTTGGTTTGAATAGCTGAACTTAAAAAAGTTATTGCTCTTTTTATGTAGCTTTCAATGCAACTTTCTTAGACTGAGTTTTATCATAGAATCATTTACGTTGGAAAAGACACTTAAGATCATCAAGTCCAACCATAAACCTAACACTGCCAAATCCACCACCAAACCATGTCCCTAAGCATCTCATCTACGTGTCTTTTAAATACCTCCAGGGTTGGTGACTCCACCACTTCCCTGGGCAGCCTGTTTCAGTGCTTGACAACCCTTTTGGTGAAAAAATATTTCCTAATATCCAATCTAATCCTCCCATCGCACAGCTTGAGTCTGTTTCCTCTCGTCCTCACCAAAAGTTGGTGGTTACATATTATTTAACAGAGGATGATGTTCAGACATCAATGCCTATTTGATCTTTCTGGGATTTTTTTTTTCTTCACTAATTTTAACTGTTTTTCACTAGTGTAGCTCCCTGACCTGCTCACTGAAGGGTTAGGCAAGCGATAGCGTAGTTCAAGGGAAAACTACTTCTACACACAAGAAGGGGGAAGATCGCAGGGCAGGTGAGACTGCTTCTTTTGGAAATGGGTAGCTGTTACTAGCTCACCTTATTGTAAAATGCCTTCTGAGTGTTCCAGGGAAAGATGTGCCAGATAACTCAAAGTTAATTTTGAAGTCAATAAGTTCATGTTCTTGAAATCCCGATGTTTAAAGTTACATTTATAACTGTACATAAACAAAGCAAAACTACATGTAAATATTTTTAATGAAAAAATAAACTTTTTTTTTTTTAATATACACGGTGTCCATATTTTTCTGTTTTACTTCTGTTATTTTTGACAAGTTAGTACTCAGCACGATCATGGAACGGATACTTCGAGGGGAAACGAATTATTATGCTACCCGAATTTATTATGAATACACATACATTTCTCCATACTTCTTGATGTCACTTAGACACAGAAAATCGTCATCATGCTATTCAGTGCAGGTATGTTCTCTGACATTCAGAGAGGAGCTGGGCTATTTTGCAGCAAATAGGAAATTCATTAGGCCATAACTGTGTATTTACATATGTATAGATTGCTTGTAAATGTATTTTAAATTTGCGTTCCCTGCACTTGTATTGCTTGGTTCTAGAAATTATTATCCGTTTTATATGTGTGTATGTGTATACATATATGTATCACTGAAAAAAATATGTCTGTGCATCACCTAAGCCACATGTATTCCCAACCTTGAATCCGTATAAATGTGTGCTACCTTGGAGTGAGTGCTATAAGCTTGGTTTGTATTTGGTCTGATTAGTCTATAAAGGTATTTTAACATACACAGGAAAATGGCGTTGACTAAATTGTCTCTGTTGTGGACTCCAGAAGTCACGTATAATAGCGAGTTTTCCGCCGTAGCATCTTTTATTCTTCAAATACAAGGGGGTTTTATCCATTTTTCACATACTCAGTTAAAACAGCTTTTTCAGAGAAAAATTTTCGGAATGCTCTTGCAAATGGCAGATTTTAATTAAGTAACGAGCAAAATGTACTCCAATGGTTTGTAGTTTTTGTTCCTTGTAACTTGTAGTAGGAAATAAGCCTGTACCGAGACTATGGATCCACAGTTATATTGTTTGAAGTCTGGAGCAAAATATTGTGTCTGAGTGGTTTTAATCATCTATTAACTGTTATGGCAGGTTTTAGCACAGGGCGTTAAATTTTGGTGAACCATCCAATGTAGCACAAATAACATTTTTTTTTTTTTTTTTTCCCCCTAGACTGTTCTTAATTTCTTGCTTCCTTGTTCAATTAACTGTTCAACAGGAGTCTGAATTTTGCTCTTCTCTTGACTGTGCCTCTAGCACACAAGCCAGCTGGACCCTTTAAATGGTAACTGGTTCAGTGATTTGATGAGTTACTGCTAATTCAAGCTGTGGGATCTTCATAAATGTCAGAAGGCGTTCATCTGAAAGTGAAGTAGTAGTTGCTTATCGCTAGGCAGGCTGAATCACAACTGCACAGCATTTTCTAAGAGGGTGGCTCTGTGTCCTTCCCTCCAGGTATTTTAGTTCAAAATGGGCTATTGCCACTAAAACTTCTGGCAATCAGCTTTGTCTATATGAAGAATGGGCAGCACTAGTCATGCGATGCATCCTGTTATTTCCACAAGAGATTATCTGTCATTTTATTAAAGACAGTGTTGAGAAAGGTCTCTGAAATAAATGTAAGGTCACGGTAGAGATGTCTTGTTGGATGAGGCCCCAGCTTATGTGAAGACTGCTCTATATCTGGATGAGCTCTCAGCACATTCAGTTTCAGCTGAGAGCTCTGGGTAGACTGAAAGATCTGAGAGAGCAGGCTTTGGGAATCATTGCACATATTGTGTGGAAAAGTAACTGCATTTTGTAACATTACCCATGTTGTTGCTTAAGTTCAGCTTCTGTCCTGAGGCACGATTCTGGTGTCTGGCATTTACCCCTCCTGAAATTATCTTGCAAGTATAAATTTTAGACTATTTATGGGCAGGAGGAGGGAAAAGCTTAAATTTGATTAACAGATGTAGAGAAAAAGAAAAGAAACCTGAAACTGTATAGTCTTAAAGAATATTGAAATTAGAATTGCATTTGTGTCAGATTTCCAAGATGGCTGAAGTTTTAATTATGAGATCCAGCCAAAAGTTTTATTATGCAATGAAATTAGGTTCACAGCATTATCTTATTAAAATCTCTTTCTAATATAAAACTGATTAAGACACAGACTGAAATTTAATCATTGGAAATATTTTAGAATAGTAGTGTAAATTAAGTTTTCATTATGATGCAAAGACAAATTCTTCCTTGTAATCTTATGTAATGAACTGTAATCAAAGTATATCGACATTGGTCCATCATTCAGCAGTTACTAAATACTGTTTGGGCTGCAAACAAGGATTGTTATGGTCAGATGAAGCTTTTACAATGTAATGAATTGTTGGTTAATTATTTTTATTCATAAAATTGTAATCTAGAAATTTTTGAATCTTGCTTTAGGAGCAGTTCTTCTAGCTTTATATAGAGCTCTCTAGGACATCTATATTAGAGCCAAGGCAGAGATCTTCAGCATTTTGAAATGGTCTAGGCTGTGTAGATAAACAAGCCAGATTAATTTTAATCTATTTTGTACTGTACCAAAAAGTAATAATGCCGATCTCTACCACTTTATTATTTGCTACTGGAGTGTTATTAATTTGGGGTGTCAGACGATGCAAGCTATTCAACTGTCTTTATCTCAAAAACCTGCTAATTAGCAGACAGTTATTAGAATCATCGTGTTCACTCAGCTGAAATGCTGTTGGTGAGTCACTCTGTATTTCAACTATAGGCCTAACCATGAAAATAAGGTATGGCATTACCATGGGATGACTCTTTCCATAGGGGACAGGATAATGTAAAACTAAAAGACTATGGCAGAACAGAAAGATCAAAAAATCATGGGATCTTAAATTTCCCATTATTCCTATATATGGGTTTGGACTGCATTCAACTGAAAATATTTGCTCTGCTTTCTTCAGCTAACCTTGATCTTATTCTCTTAATCCTAATTCCTCTTAGCCACTGCTCACATCCTCACCATTTAATTTTCAGTTTTTCTGTCCTTATTTCAGCACCTTGTCTTCTCCATTTAAATGTGTGGTAGTCTATATGCTTACACTACGTTCATCTTCTCTTCAATAAATTTCGTTTTGCTGTGCTCTGACTTGTGGCTTTCAGGCTTTCATTACAGCTGTCATTAGAAAGGTAGACAGAAATCCCAGACCACTTTGCACTCCATTCTTGCCTTTCTGTTTTCCAGTTTTAATGAGGCTTATGACTTTTGGAGATTCTCTCCTCTTTCTTAGGCTCTCTTCTGTCTGCTTCTATTTCTGCCTTTGGTTACTACTTGCTGCCATGCAGATCCTTTCTGTTACAGCTGCTCCTATAAGGTGTACCTGCCTCAATGTTTTAGTTTGTCAGGAGTGCCCTTTTTGGGAAAAAATAATAAAAAAAAAATAATCTCCCAGTTATTGCCACTTACAGTGCTTTGGTTCACAAAGTACACAATCGGCACTTCTTTCAAATGAACCTAAATGAGGAGTTGTGCTCCAAGACTGTATTTAACATGTCCCAGCTGGTGGGACTAGACTGGAGATAGTTCAGAGTATCCCCTACCCCCCTGCCCCACGAATGCATGTAGGTTAGATGCTGTATTTTCAGAAGTGAGACAAACTCTACACATTTACTCTTGTTGGGCCTTACTACTTGCTAACGTAAACGTAGCCTCAGGAATTTCAAAAAACCTTTGACACTTTCCTCTTTCTTTGGTAAATCTCTCACCTGTCTCTTCATGGCTCATCACTGTGCAGTGGTCATAGATCTGATGTTCTCTCACTTCAGAGAGTGGAAATGCAGGAAATTAGATTGATCTACAAAGAGAAAAGAAAGCAGTTTAGAAACAGTTGATCTCCAATGGTAGTAAGACAAGCTGGCCCCCGCCCAGAGCTTGACGAATTCTGCCATGTGTGCAGAACAGCTGCGAGTTGGGACAGAGCAGCATAGTCATCACAGAATCGTTTTGGCTGGAAAAGATCTTTAAGATCATCAGGTCCAACCATTATCCTAACAGTACCAAGCCCACCACTAAACCATGTCCCTAAGCACCACATCTATATGTCTTTTGAACACCTTCAGGGATGGTGACTCTTGCCACCTCCCTGGGCAGCCTGTTCCAATAG